CATCATCACGTGGTGGTAAAACGAAAGTGCTATCAGGAAATTCAATGCTCGCTACAACTGGAACTGTAACAGGCCTAGGTTTAATTGTTATCGATGGTTGCCGTGAAAGTGACGAATGGATCAAACTACTGGGCTGACTGGTTAGTGAGACCGGCTGCTTCTAAACATAATGTTTGAAAAATGCTGCTTGATTTTAAAATATAGCATTACCTCATCGACTGGACTAATTTCAGATTTACACTCTTCCACAATGACATCATCCCCCACCTTGTACGGTAAAAGTGTAACAGTTGTTTGATGTTGAGTGGGATTGATAAATTTAATAAGTAATTCACTTACTTTCCCCGCCCTTAGTGGCTCAACAGTTATTAAACGCACCTCAGGAATATGATAGCTAAAGCAACGAAATCAAAAGTCATGTAAGTACGAGGCGTTTGACAAATCTTACTAGGCAAATAATTGTATTTTAAATTTAATGGAGTTCGGATTATATTCCGGTTTGCTGACATTGTGTTCACAGGATCGGCAACGTTGCGATCTTTTCACAGACAGATGCTTATGAATAGGAAACAGTTTATCCACAGTTGTTGGTTGTAGTTCTGGCTGCACTAACCTCTGCTCCATTGTAGTAACTTGAAATTAAATCAGTATAAATTACACAATAAAAAGAAAGCGCCCTTACCAAACGACAAATTCACAGGTTCTGTAAGCAGATATTCAGGAAACTGTTCAACATCCTCTTTTGCTATAGCTTTAGTTGGTTCTTTAACCTGGCATTTACGAAGCGGGTGTGGAACGTCAGGCAACCCCACTCGCTTTCTCAGCATTGAGGCAGTTATACCAGTCCTATCCTGCAACATAAAAAAATATGTGATGTGAGCAACGAAGTAAAAGAGGTTCTCGAAAGCGAAGCAGTAAATCACAATCCAAAAAATGCATATAGCTCAATACTAATACAGAAGTTTTCTGAGGGTTAGGCTTAGGACTCAAACAGCTTCCTTCGTGGTACAATTTTGGTGTTGGTGTATGACAAATCGCCGACTAGGGACACTACACTGACATTGCCCACAACACCGACAATGTCCACTTCGCCAACAAGTGTGCAAGAGACGCTAAGCCAAACGTGACCGACCATATTTCCCTTTGACACCTTTATTTTCAACTCAACGAAAAAGTGTATAAAACGTTTTTGTACAGCTCATCAAGGCACATTTTTTTTGTATTTAAGATTTTTCGCTATGGGGCTCATTTCCGAAACAGTTGTACAGTTTTTTTACGAGTTTGTCAGTTTTTGAGAAATTTTAAATTGAAAAGTTAAACTGTTGTAATGGAACCGAATTTGCCCGCTAAAATTCGATTTAAATATTCCCTAAGCCGTTCTTGCCGCCAATTCAAGATTGAGTTTTGTTTCGTTTCAGTGGAACACGTGTTTTTTTCTTCTTTGCTCTACGTTGAAATGGGCCATAATTTATTACCATAAAAGTGTCAATTATAAAGCTATACAAGGGAACTTAATGATCCCTATCGACCCAACGTCTCTAACAATGTTCGTCTAAGATTTGCTTAAAAGGGAGAAATTTTGGCTGAGGTATTTGTGCTTTTGTTGAGGGTAAAAGTAATTTTTACGTTTCGAATAGTGAGTGCAGCTTCGACAATTACAAAGGTGATGTACTCTTTTTTTATCTATATGTCTATTGCATCCATCTAGTAATGATATGATCGTGTTAATTATTTGCCAATTTAACGGTATTCTCGTATAGCATGATTATTGCCATTTATAACCCATTCTAAATACAAATTGCCGTTTTTGAATTATACTGGTCATACTTTGACTTAAATGAATAGAGATTCTACGTAAATATGTTGTTTTCCAATTTACAGTACTCCTTTGTTCCAAGCGCTGGTTTTGCCCGCCAACCCGCAATTTAAATTACTGACCGATTTACGTATTTTTATTTATCTTTAGATACAGTATCTTCCCTTAGTTATGATATTCAATACAAGGATGCAAAACTACATTTTAATTTATAATTGAATTTACTGCAGCACATTTCCCTTTTTTTTGCATGAATATGTTACTGTTTATTTACAGGGTGCTTCGTCTGCGGGCGTCTGCTAAAAGCGTACGGCGTGTTCCCGTTGTGCCCTTTGTTTTTTATGTATCCTTATCCTTCCTGTGTGAAATGCTCTTCTGAGAGGCCAACTCCTATCGTTTTCATACAATACTGACATATCATGACCAGAGCAACTAAAGACTACTCGGTGTGGGATTTGGACTGGCCATCCAATATCCGAACCTATTATGTGAATTTATTGTAATGTTTATGATTGTTTTTTTGTGTTATGTGTGTGTGAAATATTGATTCTTTAGGAATACCAGTGGAGCCTGAGATTTGACATTATATAAGTTTACTTAACAACCATCATAATATGCATTCATGCCATTACAGATAACTAATTTTGCTATAAAGTTCAATATTAATTTGTTGGATGGTTTTTTTCTCAGCTCTTTTTTTTCCCCAGCCTATTCTTATATTTGTACTCGGTGAACTACCATTTTCTAAATCTAATCGTGCAATGCGAATTATTTTGATTAAATCTCCATTTTTAAAGCATGTACTCGTTTTATTTGTATTCCTTACTTGATTCTCACTCAAGCAACGTACATATCTTGTAGCGACTCTTAAAAACACAACGTAGTAAATGGTCCTATTATTTTGTTATTCAGGTTAGGTAGCTTTGTCTAGACTCTAGACGATCATGTGCCATGGGGTTCAGTTAGTTTGGGAGGGAAAGTTTTGAATTAAATCTTGAGTTGCGCAGTCTCTCGGGGCTGGCCTGGGTAAGTCACATTATTTATTTTATAATTTTTTTTAATTTGCACTTTCCCGAGAAAGTAAGCCCCATGGCGAAAAATGTGAAATACAAAAAAAGATGTCTTGATGAGCTCTACAAAAAAGTCATACTCTTTTTGCATCAGGTTCAAAATACAGGCAATAAATGTTTAGACAAGTTCTCTAAAATCGATTGCAACTTCCTTCATTTCCAGAGAAACAGAAAACTGCCAAAATTCGGAAACATTCAAACGAAATTACTCTTTCGAATTATGACAGAACAAAATACCGCCTGTTTGATTTTTATTTCCACACACTTAATTGACATGTAAAATTAATAAACAAAAAATTCTGTTAAACTGTTCACATTCTTTTCAATATAATCTGTTACTTTAGAACAGGAGTCTCCACACTACGACCCCCCGCGGACCAAGACCGCCCCCCAGCATTACCAGTCTGACCCAATGTACTGTACTGTACATTTATCAATATTATTTAAGTGGGTTGAAGGAATACATAAAACAAGTTAAAAAGTAATTATGCAAACGTAAATGACGAGAGCGTATTTTGCTCCTAATAATACATATTAATGCTAGGGCACGGAAAAAATACTGGTAGGAATGAGAGGCTTGCCTTATTCAATTCAAATGAAATTTTATTTAAATGCTTTCGTAAATAAGAAAGTTGGCATTGCGCATGTGCAAAACAATATTTTGAAAACGTCAAGTTTTCCTTATATTGGTAGTGTTTACATCATTGAAATAAAAGACTGTTTACAAAATATAAAGTTTCATTTAAATATCTTCATAAATAAAAAAGTTAGCAATGCACATGTGTTAAAACAAATTTTTAGCACTGTGCATGCACAAAACCAAAAATATTGGTACGCACTGGATCCAAGATCGTTTCAACTGACCGTCATATTGAACAAATCGGTTCAGTCGTGTAGAAGTATTAGTACGTGTGACGGACGGACGGCAAAGTTCAGCCAATAGTGATTTTTCACTTTGCTAAAAATACGCTAATAATTAGAGTTTATAAAGATACAGACAAAAGATGGCACTAGCAATACAGATATAACTTCGCATCATTAAACTGCTAACAAGATCTGGAGGAATTATTGCATTGCAGGTAATCCAAGAATACGGCCGAAAATATGGTAAGTAGATATGTTCTGGCCCTAGGAAAATTGAGGAGCAATTCATGTGGCTATAATGAGTGAAAAAGTGCACTTTTTATTTTTTGAAAGTGAAAGTGCACTAAAAATAAGCCTTCTAAAAGCTTAGGCTCAATGCTCACATTCAGTTCGGTGATAGGAGAAGTTGACTAGCGAGCCGTTAGGCGAGCCTGTCATCTCTTAGAGCCAGTAAAAACAATTACCTGGCGTATAATGTACAATATTTTATTTGTTACTCATTTGTAAACAATAGTAAACGTAAATAATTAGTTCTTAAATTAATCTTGAAGAAATGTCTAAAATATCATGTTATCCATGTAACAGAGACTTCGCATTAATTCTGGCCAATGAAATTACTAGATTACCAACTTGTAAAATTTTTACAGGTCAGCTGTCAGTTTTACAAGTCAGTAGCGTTTAAACATGACGTTTACCCGTTTGTGTTTTGTCTTGTTAATCAACGTTTACAACTTTACAAATACAATTTTTTTACAATTCAAAAAAATTTAAGATGGCGGTGGCGCACTCAATAACCATGTGTCAAAAAATTTTGTTTTTACCTCAAAAGTCAAAATATGTGAAATAATTTCAAATGGAAGCCGGGAAGCGTATCTCCCAAATGGTTTGAACCTGAGAGCTTTGGTTCCTCTTTAATGGCGACTTTGTATATACCATGGTAGAAGTCTATTATTGCCTATGTACTTACTGTATATACTAATAATCCAAGGCGCTTTCTTTCGGCTACTTTGCGATCATGATTCGTAGGATCACGTTTTACGAAAGAACGCGCGAATTTAAATCAAAGTATGGTTAAGTTTAGTAGTACAAATTTGCATTCGAATTACGTATTTTTTGTTTGGATTATGAAAATAACTTAAAGGCAAGTAGTTGCGTGATATTGTGCTCCTCTTCAGTTACAAATATTGACTCACCTAACATTTGAGCAAAAATATCCTTGCATTTATAGGTTAGGAATTCGTGATCATAAAACTTTTATGTTCAGTTTGCTCACAATTTTAGCAATCATGATTATAAGATCAAACTTCGAAAGAACGTGATTTGACAATCCAAACGTGTTTGGATCATTGAAAGAAAGCGCCTCCAGTAATGCCATTAGTAGGGTAAGGTAGCCATAATCGTACCGGTGCCTAAATCGTACCACGTTCGTTTTTCAATAAAGGCGCGACTTTTATCGCCATCTAGTATAGTATTCACCAGGTCAATCAAACATTAGTCAGTTATAGCAGTATCATAGTTACAGGTGTAACCGCATTTACGCGCCAAACAGTGTTAAAAGAAAGTGATCATTTTCATACAAGATTTTGCGGCTTTTTGTAAGGGCGTGTTGCTAGGTAAGTGGTGTAGTGAAGTATATGTTGTATTAGTTCTTTAGAGCAAAATGTTTGGAAATGTTTGTATATTTCAAAATTTAGTAACGATCCTCAGATTAGGTTAAATTAATTTTTTACTGATTATGCATCAAGTTGCCTAAATCCTACCACACGCTAGTCTCCAAAATCGTACCAGTACGATTTGGGAAACTAATTGTTTTCGCGCCACATTTATAAAAACAGTCTAGGCACATTTTTGAAAAATAGGTAGGTACACAATTTACATTGGGTTCATTTGCAGAAAAAAATGCCGAAGAGAGAATATGGAAAGTGGTCTTCCGAAACTATGAAACGGGCATTGAGTGAATATGAAAAGAATGATATAGGTTTTAATGAATGTTGTCGAAAATATGAAATTCCAAAACCGACATTTAGGAGGCACCTATTGGGACAGGTCAAGAGAGGAAATGATACCACGCATCAGGCCAAAAGACGTGTTAATGGACGTGAACTGGCCTTACCAGAAGAAGTCGAACGCCAATTGGTGGAGCACATTTTGAAATTTGAAGAATTGCTTTTTGGACTAACAATTAATGACGTCCGTAAGCTTGCGTATGACATTTTGGCAGCGAATCCGCATATTCCGAACCCCTTTAACAAGGAAACTAAAATGGCATAGTTCATATACCATTTTCTCATAAGAAATTAAAAGTACGATTTGGGAAACCGCAGGTACGATTTGAGCAACTGGTTCCTTAAATCGTACCACTTGCACGCTCTTAGGAAAATTGAAATTGTGCAGTAAACATAGAAGTTTCGTGCCTACAAAAATTACTGTTTGAAGCTAAAACAGTATTTTATAATTTGCAACAAACGGATTCACACTTTATCACATAACTGTAGCAAAAATAAATAAAAACTGGAAAGCGGTACGATTTTGGCAACCTTACCCCTAAGTTGTGTATAGTGTTTAAATTAACAATTAACAATAAAATAATAATAATAATAATAATAATTTATTAGCGCTAATAACATAATTGTTTTACGCAAGTCGGTTACTATATACAGTATATAAAGACTATAACTTACACATTTAAAGACAGTTAAACCTATAATGTAGAAAGTCGTTTATATTGTAAAATGCCTGGCTTATTAGGTGCTTCTTTAAACATTTACTAAATGAATTTGTGCAGTCTAGTTCTTTCATGTGTTGGGGCAGAGCGTTGTATAATTTAATACCAATATGATTTACACCAGTCCTTGTTTTATTTAATCTTAAAGCAGGAATCACTATGCTATTTTTTTGTCTAGTGGAATGGCAATGCAGCTGGTTATTTTTATTTGTTGTATATAGACTCAAGTTGTTACGAACATAGAGTATGCACTGATATATATAAATTGACGGTAATGTGAGGATGTTTAGGTTGATAAATGCGCTTTTGCAATCTTCTCGATATTTTAATCCTGCAATTACACGCACTACCCGCCTCTGAATTCTAAATACATCATTAAAGGTGGCAGAATGTCCCCAACATATCGTATTATAGGAAAGTACACTATGTATTTTGCCAAAATAAGCAGCCATGAGTACCTTTTTCGATACGGTACACTGCATAGCATGCATATATTAAAGAAAGATCTGCTGTTGTGTCCCTGACCTACACGCCCAAATTAATAATAGACAAACCAAACCATGTTTTCATTTAAAGATCAAACCCCCAAATCAAGAAAAATCAGCGATACTAACCGTGAAGCTCATATATCGACGTTGCTTCTTTTTATCTTTTTCAAGTTTCTGCTGTTTATCTGATAGCACAATACCTTTATACATATCTTGTATATCTTGCAATCGATTTGCGTAAACATTCTCCCTCTCAGGCCACCCTCCACTCACTAAAAACAAACAATTTGAGTAAGTACCTACAGGTAATAAGAACACTAACCAGCTGCTTGATCGGGAATTCCTACATCTCTAGAGCTCCAGCGACACAAAAGGCAAAGCAAATAAAAAACCTTGCGAGGTGGAGCTTTCGGATCTTCGCCATTTTTAGGCCCCATATTTGCCGCTCTAGTTGTCAGTTGCTGATGACAGCTTGGACAATCGAAACAATTGCCACATCTATTTTTCTTTAAACGTGCCTCGGAAGATGGTAAATTTTCGGCACATTTTCCACAGTAATGGGAATCCGCCTTAAAAACCATACAAAGGGATTATGTTGTTAATGAAGATATGGGCCTACCTCATGACACACGCAAAAAGAACATCTTATTTCTAAACAATGTCTGCAAAAATATAGATTAGAGATAGGTCTTAAAATGCCACATGTGCAAGCATATTTTACAACATCGGGTTGTACGATGTAAGACATTTTTCAAAGTAGGGTCTTCTACATTGAAAACCCCAAAATAGAGAGCAATGACACCAGTCGGTGGAACGCAATGAATAATTTTTATTCATTGGTGGAAAGATCTAAGGTTGAAAGACACTGCAGAGGAAATCATTCTGTGGAGGGAATGACAACAAAGAGGCGAAAGTTACGACGTGCATGTGCAAAAAGGACGTTATCAGTTGTATACTTTGACACTGCCACTGACAGTCACTACAATATATACAGGATGTCTCAGAAAAAGGTTGCATGAGTACATTGTTGTTTATTCGTTAATCAATAAATAAACATAAAACATCGTTCACCAAACGAAGCGCTTCATGAGTGCTACCATGGTGCTACCTTAAACCTTCTTGATGTCGTACCGCTTATATAAGTACTTGTAATTGTACTGCATTTTGCTTGTGTAGTCGTTGATGGTGTAGTGTATACACATCAAAACAAAAAGTCAAAAACCCAAAACAACACTGGAAAAAAACATTTAGAAATACTTATTGGAACCTTTTGGATTGGAAATCATAAAGTCAAAAACGAATTACATCAAAATGCATCTTTCCCTAGGCATATAAACAATGAATGACACATTTGAAAATATTAGTTTTGAATTTGAGAAGGATTTGATTCCTACCTCCAAGTCATCTGGTGAGTTGAAACAGCATGTCTTCTGTGATTTGTGATGTCATCTCATTTTGAGTAGTGTACTGTCTGCTTGAAAGTCGATTCACATTTTGCGGAACGTCAATGTCACGTCCCCAACCGGCAACGCCACATTAAAATATGTATTATAGATTTCTTATGATGACATTCACATAGAGACGTAACGGAATGCACCATCAACGTCACGAACCGTCAAGATAAGTTTAAATACAATATTTTGATGTGACGTTGCCGGTCAGTGACGTGATGTTGACGTTCACTAAAATGCGAATCGACCTTTAAATTTGCACTTATTGTTTTTACTTTAGGTACTACTGGCCCATGTAACATACTCCAAAAGGAAAATGATAAACAAGCAAAAATCTCCTCACATCATCTGCTTGTTAATCCTAAGCAAAGAGGAAATCCGATATTAAAAGCAATAAGAAATGTCCCTTGGGAGTTTGAAGAAATAGTCCCTGATTATCAAATGGGTACAGGGGTGTGTGCCTTATTTTTATCGCTAAGGTATCACAATCTACATCCCGATTACATTCACAATCGGTTGAAGTTGCTGGGAAAAAATTATGAACTACGTGTTTTACTTGTGCAGGTTGTATTAAACCAATGTTTACCATTGCCAGTGCCCATAACATTTTCTTTTAGATTGATGTAAAAGATCCACATCACCTCTTAAAAAATTTAACTCGTATTTGCATCTTGGCGGATATGACTTTAATATTAGCTTGGAGTCCAGAAGAAGCTGGTAGGATAATTGAAACTTATAAAATCTATGAAAATAAGCCAGCAGATACAATAATGACGAGAAGTGAAACATCACCCAATTTACAAGTAAGTTCTTATAATCAATTCAAATTGTACAAATAATTGTGCGTTTTAGTTAGTACAATTATTAAGTTCCGTAAAACCAATTAATAAAACGGATGCTATGACTTTATTGGTGCGTTTCAAAACTCTAAAGGGTATTATATCCGCATCTGAATATCAACTCTCGGAATGTCCAGGTATTGGACTTCGAAAAGCTCGGAAACTGTATTCTATATTGCATGAAAATTTTTGTAAATAATTGTTATATTTTAAATTGCATGTTAGTTGTATAAGATTTGTGTTTTCGGTATTATTACTATTGTTACTTATTATTGCTGGCAATCTACACCATCACATTTGAAACATTTTATAGTGTTTTTTATTAAAATTAAAACCAAGTTGTCTATTTTTGTTTCATCCTACTTGTGTCATACAACTTACACCTTTTAACTTTTTTGATACCACTAACAATTACGGATACCTTTCCTATATAGAAAGGTCGAACATGGGACAATATGTACCTCTTTTTAATTTAAGGCTGAAGTGTTGTTGAAAAATGTTCTTTGATTTAAGTTGTCGTGTAAGGATAAAATTGTTTGTTTTTTTCTATGGGCTTCGCTCACTAAGAACAACTCTCGCAGCACCCATAGAGATGCTGCAAAAAGAACACTAATGTTTGTAACGGAGTAATAATAATCCAAAAGAGTAAAAACAACGTCTGAAAAAAGCAACAATTAAAACTAACGATAAAGGAAAGGAAACTAAAAAAAGCAGAGACTTGTTACAACTAGACCGCACATAGCTCAAGTTGTATGTTGTCAACATGGTAGGCCACCCACCGAACTCGTAAAGGCAAGAACTTTCGCGCTCCAATCTTCACTATTTGTTTTTGCTGGGATTATATCGCTGAACTGGGCTAGTTTTTCAGTATTTTTTAAAATTTCTTTGCTGAATCGAAAACGCACACTTTCTAGACACATAATGTTCTCAGAAAAGGTTATAAACGGTAATAATGAAATAAATGTAATCTAGTGTAAATTTTCGTATAAGGTATTTTTTTACCGGATAGTTTACATCTAGGTATAGTTATGTATAATGGAATGGAAAAAGCAGAAAAGCACAAGAATATTTTGAGAAACAATCTTTGCGATAGTGTAACAGAGATATGAATTTGTTTAGTCGGCGTCTTTGTTGTACGTCGCGCAGAAATCTCCACGGATGTAATTTGTTTTTGGCACTTCAAGATCATGATCATATCATCATCATATATATCATAATCATGTCCTGCAGGCTGCAGTGAATGAATTTAATACTGAAGGTATTCTTTACAATACGTATTCATTACGAAAATAAGAAAATAAACGAAGTAGATGTGGATGTGAGAATTAGACATTTATACAACAAATGAGTATTGTTTAAAAGCCAATAAACATTTTTATGTCGATAAGCACATTTCATTTTACCATTGAATAAAATTTTTATGCAATAATTCTAGTTATTTCGACTGGTTATATGTAGGATCTTGCTAAAACTGGTTCGCGCTTTGCCATTACGAGTATGATGTGTTGCCTAAACATGTTGGCATCACTCTTTTATACGCGAGTGGCATTGTATGCGCAGTCTAGGTATAAACAAGTCTGTGAAAAAAAGATGGGGTTGTAACATACTCCAGCGGTTAGGCAACACACCACTCACAACTAAAAGAATCGCAGTATGGGAAAAATACGAAATGCTCTGTATATACAGCAATTGTTCCCAGTAGTTGCCGTCAAACAAACTGTGAATTCACGTTGTGTTTTGAAAATTGTATTTATTTATAGGTATAATAATAATTTTATTCTTTCGCAGCTGCATTTATGTTGCTGCTTCATCTTGTGCAGACTGCAGTTCTTGTGTCTTAACATATACGAGAAGGGGGGTCCTTAATTTGATGTTTCTCTCTATGAGTATGGTTTAACCATTTTCGCGTAGAAAGTAGATACCTAATACAGTCCAATTCTTCGCTGTAACTGTTGCTTTCTTTCTCGTGCGGGCTGGAGGTCTTGTGTCTTAGCATATACGCAAAGGGGGTCCTTTGATTAACATTAACATTAAAATTCCGTACCTGGGTACCATGCGCACACTTATCCGGACGGAATCGGCGAGGTATATTATTCATTGGGTATAGATTTTCAATACCGATCTGGCGTCGGTTCCGGACGGGCTCGGTCCGATCCGAGTCGGTTCTGTCCAGACAGACACTGTTTACTGGTAACTGGAAAATATTATTAAAATGAAATGCACTCCTTACGGACTAACGTAAAAACCATACAGTGGCGAACATTAATATGCATTAAGATTGTTCTCAAGTCTCAACACTTCACCCACTTCGTCTTTCTGTGGGATAATGTTATTGTTTAGATACAATGGGAGCTTATCTGTAGTTTTATTGATACAGAGGGAAGGGGGGGGCACTGGCTTTTTCTTCGTGGTGAAAGGCCTCGGTCCCCTATAATGATCGGTTATAATTCCTTATATCTCAAGAACTGATGGTCGGAGGAGGGTACTCCACATAGAGCCGTTAAGATGTCTGGAAGAAATAATCCACTGGTGATGTCAAAACTTTAAAAAGCGTAGGTATATCTCAAAACGGTTTGTCGGAAGAGGGTACTCGTAAAGAACAAGTGGAACGTCGCAGAAGGAGACATATCGATTGGTGATGTCAAAACTTTTAGTGGAAATGTCTGCAGATTGGAGTGTCAGGGAGGGTCCTCACAAGGGGGTGGAAAGATCGTCTAAACGAGACACATCTACTGGCTATGTGAAAACTTAATTATGAATTTCTCGAAAGGAAAGTATGTACGATCATCGACAAAAATAATGATAATCGGGAACACACTGCCAGTTAGGCAACCAACCATACACTATCTAAAATAGCAACGTTGAAGTGTAACTCTCCGGGCGGAATTCGTGTGGGATGGGCTGCACGGCGTCGCGCATTGTCGTCATTGCTTCGGTGTTTCTTCGTCACTGGCTTGTACGTATAATTTACAAAAATGGGTAAAACCGAATTTTATGCATTACCTATTATATTCATTATTCTGGCAAACTAGAGACATTAAATTCACATTGGTATCTTCAATCTCGTTTTTCTCTCAATTGAAATAAAAACTGGCTTTTAAGGTTAATTTTGCAAGACAAGTTTTTATTTTAGTGATCAATCGCAATGCTGTGCGGGCACATCTATATCTCTTGGCCCATCCCAAACGAATTCCCGCCGGGAAATTTATGCTTCAACGTTGCCAGTTTAGATAGTGTATTTTTGGTTGCCTAAGCGGCAGTAAGCATCCGATTATCATAACTTTTGTCGGTGATCTTACCTACAAAGGGCAAAACAATATTTTGGAGAATTTCTCTAAGAACTTGATTCTTCTTGCACTAAATACCTAGTGCAGATTTTGTATGTATATGTTACCGGCAAACTGCGAAATCCGGCATTTTGCAAAATCCCTAGGCATTTTGCGAAATGACCAATGCAGTAGGCAAAGTGAGAAATGGAACTCGACTTCGCACTTCGCCTGCTTCTCTTTAGGGATTCCGCAAAATCCCTAAACATTCAGGCAAAGTGAGAATTCTCGGTTATTTTACACAGATTGCGCGTACAGCGGTGCCAAACGTAAAACCGTCGCGTTAGTACCTTCCCCCATTTGAGATATTCTCCACAGTCAATCCAAAGCGTGACTCAAAAGAAAACCCATAGAAGAAATGCAGTTTAAGGCGGAAACACATTACTGTCACGTCACGTGAGCTCACGTGCTATCACGTCAAGCATACCTTCGCGTGATGTCACGCTAGGAGATACACTTGTGTGCGCTCACGGTGTCCCGCGGTAAATGTCGTTACAATTTAAGATTTGCATTTAGTCATTAGAAGCGATGAAGCGAAGTAGAGATTCTTCTTCGTCCAGTTCTTCAGACGAGGAAGAGGATATAGAAAACGTGGCTGCTTTTACAGTGGCTAAGATTCTACCAATTTCCTCCCAAGCTTCTTGTCGAACCCTCTGATCCCGGTACTCAGCAGAGGAGTGATTGTATAGCCCTTCCTGCTGTCTCACCAGCTCAATTAAATGTTCGTCCATCTTTTCTTGACGAAACCACTTCGGAAAGCACTTGACGTGATGTCACGTTCTACTACAAAATGTAATTTTGCGGAATAACGGAGGCGTGATATCATGCGAGATCAGAACAGCACGTCGTGAATGCGTGAGGTGACAGTAGTATGATTCTAAAGGCATAAACGTCATAAACTTCTATACGTGAGTGGAGTTGCACATATTGCGCACGTAACGTGAGTTTGCGTGATAGCACATGAGCTCACGTGACGTGACCGTAATGTGTTTCCGCCTTTAAACGCGAGTGCAATATTTAGCGAGTACTTAAATTAAATTGCAATCGTCACGTCGTTTACCATCCAATGGCAACGCTGTATGCGCAATCTGTGAGAAATGACGAAGCTTTTGCACTTTGCCTGCATGTTTAGGCATTTCGCGAAGTCCCTAAAGAGAGACAGGCAAAGTGCGAACTGCAGGTCCGTTTCTTACTTTGCCTGTTTCATTCGTCATTTCGCGAAATGCCTAGGCATTTTGCAAAATACCGAATTCGCAGTTTGCCGGTAACATATATATATACCAGGCGGCCTTTAAATGTTTGTGTGTAAAGGTAAATATAGCATACCTTACAACCCAACTATTTACTAAGCTATATCGATTTTAAAAATCCGCTTTATTTGCGCAAGATATGTGCATAATTCGCGATTTATTTCATTGCCAAGTTCCTTAATACTGACAAAGTCAACAGACAATATGTTATTGTGTTTAAAACGTTTGTCCGTCCAAACAATTCTTTATTTTATTTTGTCTTTATTTTTGAGTGGGTGGGGTTTCAGCCAAGGTTGCGCTACCCACCCAACCCACTATACAATTACAAATATCCATGCCCGAACTCAGATTCGAACCAGGGACCCTTACCACCACAGTCCAGCTTTAACGGAACTGCGCCACATGGGCCGGCAAATTCTTTATCGCTTCTGACGTATCCATTCTCATTCCGTGCTATAACTGGTCGTTTTGGTTAGGCTGGGGTTATTGTATAGCATCCTTGGGCTGGGGTAGGAATCATTCTCTGGCTCATTGATGTGAGGATAACTTGGCGAGCAGTTAGATCAAAGAGTACCCATAAAGGGTATCGTTCACTAGAGCGAAGCGCAGCGGAACGGATTTTTTTTAAACCATAGCTTTACCCAAAATCGTCCTGAAACCTTCATTTTCATGCCTACTTTCTGGCAGGATTTTTGAGTTTCCATGACAGAGGCAGAGCAGACTACGTTTCCTACCGCTTGTCAATTTACTGGTCGCACCTGTCACTTTAC